TTTTTTAAAGAAACTCTGATATTAAAAAAAAAACGAAGAATCCATTATTATCTTTTCTTTTTCGAAGGAAAACACAGAAAAATACGAAAACGAAAAAAATAAGAGAAGAGTAAATGAAAATGCTTTTCTTTTCCTGAAAATTAAAGATACCAACAATATCAGAAACAATAAGAAAAGTTTATATCGCACACACAGAAGCAATAAAAACCGAAAAACAAAAAGAAAATAACAATTTTCGCAAAAACGAATATCAGAAAAATAACTAAAATAACAAATAAATGAAAAAACCAAAAAAAAAAAAATATCAGGATATTAAGAACTTGTTCTCATTTTATCTTCCCCTAGAGAAAAATTTCTTTTACTGTTCTCTTATACTAAAGAATATCCTGATGCCATCCACATTAAAAAATAGGAGCAAAATATCATAACAGAATTAAAGTAAAGACAAAAAAAAATAATAACAATAAGATCATAAAAAAAAAAATTATTTTTCTTCCTTAAAAATATGCTCCTATGATTAGTTTTATTACTGCTTTGCGTAATACATGCTCCGTTTCTTCCTTATTTTCGTATTTTTCGTACTTTTCTTTTCTTAAAACGACGACATCACTTACACACTTACATACATATTTCAAATACATTATTATTGCATTTAATCCTGTTTCAACTTAACACATTCATACATGCATAATATGAAAATTATTATGGTATGTTTGTAATCGTAATATGCGGTTGGTATAGGTATAAAATTAATAAGAATAATAATAATAATAATGATAATAGTAAAGAAATTATATCTTACAGGCGAGCTCATATTATTTACTCGAATAGAGAATTCGAAATTAAAGATTTTTCTTATAATAGTAATAATATTATGTAGTAATAATAATAAAAATTTATTTCTACAATATAATATATTAAATTATATTAAATTTTATACGTATAATATAGATATATGCTCGTAGATATATATTACAGAGTAAAATGCGCAACACAAAGGCAAAAAATATGAGATCCTAAATTTTATCCTGGGTTTTATAAATGTACGAAGAACAAAGAAAATCATTTACGAATTTAATTCAAAAACATATTGTGTACGCTTACGGGTTTGGTCTCCTTAACATCAAAATGCAAAATAGATATATTATTCAATTTAAAGAATAATGAGATGTGTGGTTATGTAAGATCTTATATATTTGGTAACATGTTCTTTTAATACGATATAGAATCATTACCGAAAAATTAATTGTATCTAATTCTATTTCTTAATTAAAAATCTAGACTCATTAAATACAAATTTTTTCATTTTATTGTAGATGCTATTTTGTTGCAATAGAAAAGAATACGACTAAGAAACTAGAGATTTTGAGATAATTATATAGAGATAATTATTAAGAACATTGCACAAAGGAAGATGAGCAATGATAAAAAGTCAAGCATTAATTTCATATTAAATTAATTTATAAAACAAAATTTAATTAGTCTAATACTAAAATATAGTATGATATAAACGCCATGTTTAGCATAATATGAAAATTTTAGCATAATAAAATGTGAAAAACTTATGTACCTATATACAGGTACCATTTATTCTAAATTAAAAATATTTTAATATTTTTTGTTGCTTTTTCTCTCGCCATAATTATAAATTCCAAAAATTAAAAAGCAAACACTTTCTATACATAAAATACATACTACATATACGAAAAGGTGTACAAAAAAACAACCTTTAGTATTAAACACAACATTTTGTAAAATATTCACCAATGTAGGGCGGTTTTAAATATATGTTTTGACACCCTAAAATTGTTGGTCGTTTATACACCTTTGGAAATCAATTATGCAAATTTAATTTTCCTATAAACATAAAGGAATAACTTGCATGAAGTGCATTTTGATTTGAAAATATGTAGTGTATGTACACATGTATTCCAGCACACGTAAACAAGGTGTTTGTCTTATTGTTTTTTATTATTTTTAAAATTAATATTTTTTTTTTAAATAATTTAAGTGTTTTACAATAGTTTTTAAAAGGCACTACAAAAATTCGCTTTATAAAACTCTTTTGCTTTTATTTTTATAAAATAAAAGAAGCGAATAATATTAATTTTCTATAGCTTTTGAAATAGGTTCCCTTTATTATAGATTTTTATTTTAGTAATGTGGGAAAATAAAATTTAAACGTGTTGGATGTTCATTGAAATTATTTTTCTCATACCTTACCAGAATTATTTTGTTTAAAAAGCAGAAGAACGATAGCAGAACCATAACTTTGATCTAATTATAGAAAAATATTATATAACTTTATTTCTAAAAAATTTCTAAATTTCCGATTTAAAACATTTAAAAGGATTCTTGTTACGCCAAATAATAAAGGAAAAGAATGAAAATCTTTATACTTCTTTTGTAAAAGCATTATTGAAATTTTGGAGGTATTTATTGAAGATTAAATTTTCTTATCCTAATATAGCTTACTTATGTTACAGAAAAAGTTTTCCAAGAAGTTCTGAATTGCACAATTTTTACAAATTGTTATTATTATAATTTAAATCTCTTTGTGTAGTTAATAGGAAATTTTTAATATATTAGTAAATAGTACCGAAGAGGACATTATTAAAAATATGAAAATTTATTTATATACACGAAAACTAATTTTTATAACATTAAAAAGGATAATAAAAGCAATTTCCTTTCTGTTATAGGATTTGTTTTATAAAAATATATTATGTAATACGGCAAATATCCAATTTTTTTCATTTTTTTCACCTTCAGTCCTTTTACATACAGTCGAACACGCTTATTTGTACTCTTTTCGGCAAAATTTTTTTCTCAATGGAAAAATTAAATTTTTTTTTTCAACTTTATAATAGGGATGTGTGCGTGTGTACACATTAGAGATGTGTTACATTCAATATTCTATTAATCTATCATTTTTTATGTCTTATGACAAGCTATTCTAAAGTATAAGCAAAAATTTGTGTTAATAAGGGAAAATATATACTTGTATATAAAAATGAGAAAACTGTCAATAATTTTCATGCTTATAAAAGTTAAGTGATATCAAGAGTGCTACAGTTAAGCGGTATGAATACATTTGGTATGGAGAATTTTGCATATTAAGAAATCTTACTTATAAATGTGTATTCGACTGTATATGCAATATTTCGTACGGCAATAATTCTTATCGAAAATCAAGTATTTTTATGTCTATTTTCAAATGGTATAAAAAACATATAAAAATCGAAAAATTTTCATTATAATTGAAATATTATCAATGAAAAAAAAAAAAATAATAAAAATCCTCATTTTATCATTACTGACAGACAGGTACTTATTGATGATTCAAATAAATACATACACATTTACCTATACAAATCTGTACAACAACCTGAGCGTGTTTGTAATTGAATACTGTCTTATTTTATAGCGTAAATATATTATTTTTTCTGTATACATAAGAAAAATCGTATATTGAATTCCTTTTTCTATTTGTAACGTTAAGACCTAAAGACAGATTTTAGACTTTTGTTAAATGCGGTTTTTATTTCAAGTACTTTTTTAAAATTAATGAAATAATATGTGTGAATATACTAAGAGCTATAACTATTGGAGAAACTGGAAAGAAAATCTAAAAATGAAGGCGAATAATCATTAGATTAGGCGAATAATTTTTTATAAAAATTTCATATTCTATAGAATCTAAAGTTAGTATGATGTTGTTCGAAGTCAAAATTGATTTGCATTCTAATCAATGCAGGCAGGTATCCCACAGTTAACTGAATCAATTTTATATGTATATACACTTATACTCGTTATTATTACGCTTTTATATTGGAAAAAATTTTTTTCATTCATCAGTTAACTAAAAAAATATGCAAAGGAAATGGTCAAATATTTTTATTTTATTTGTTTTAAATGAAATAAAAAATAATTAATTATAGTTGTATCCCATGATTTATTTCAAGTGAAATAAATCATGGAATACGAATTTCTGTACAGCTAATGACAATTTTCAAATATTTCGATAAGATCTAAAAAAGACACAATTATGCGACCATAATATACGATTTTAATTTGTGAACAAAAAAAAAATATTATTGTAGTTTGAAAGGTCGTAAAAAACCGTTATCAAATATTAACTATAGATTTATATAAATTCAAAATGATTTATAACTTGTTATAAGATTTAAAAGTACTCTTATCTGCATAGGTAATAAAATAACACATAAAAATTGATAAAAAATAAATTAAATTTGAAATTAATTACCTATTCATCAACTTTTGTCTGGACAAAAAATATTTAATACATATGTACATATTATGTATGCAAACACAATTCTACATGAATAAGTCACATAGCGAAATATGGACACATTTAATCATTGTTTGTGGCAACGCGTTGTTAGTATTAAATTTAATACTCTGATTGATTAAAAAAATTAAAGGGGCCCAACCGTTTCCAAACAATTTACATAATTTCTAAAGAATAAATATTTTAAATAACATTTCTTTCTGGAGCAAAACTGCGTTTTTGCATATCTAAGCATTACCAATAAGTATTTTTCAATAGAACTGTTGTAAAAACCTTGTGTTATTCCCAAAATGCAAAAAATATATCTTGAAAAAATTTACACTGTTAGATTTTTTAAGGGTTTGTTACTGCGCTTTAACCGCAGCTGCATGTATATCCAATAAATTTGTAAATTACCAAAATTTTAGTCCTAAATGAAAAAAAATTAAATTGAGACAATTACAAATGGTAATCAAAAAAAAATTAATTTTAATTTTACAAGTATTTTATTAACTAAAAAACATTACAAGCATTGAATTTTAAGTCATTATTTTTTTAATGTATGACCATTTTATTTTTATAATGTTTAAATAAACTTATTATAAAAATTACATATAATTGAAAGTAAAATAAATCATTTCATATTTATATCAATTTAACTACAACATAGACATACATATACATATTAATTGTTTTCTTTTTATTTTAGATGATGAAAATTCTCATGTACATGCCGTCCTTACAAAAAATAATTTAATTGATGGGACAATATCAACAAAAACCGAACAATATTACATTGAACCAGCAGAACGATATTCAAATGATTTAATTAATTCTGGTATACATACAATCGTATATAAATTAAGTGATGTTAAAATGAATAATAAAAAGCCATCATTTACTATTTCAAATTATTTAAATAATGATTTTAGTAGAACACCAATTATGACAATTGAATCGCCACAACATCATTGTGCTAGTGAAAATTTACGTAAAAAATTAGAAGCGCAACGAAAGACAAAAGATTTTAAAAGAAGAAGAAAATCATCATTATCAATAAGTCCTTTATATTTAAATAGCATTTTTTATAATAATGAAAATAATAAAAATGATAATAATATGCAATTATTATCATTTCCATCAAATTCATTAAAATTAGCTCCTCTTGCCAATAATAGTAATGATAAAAAATTAAATAATAAAAATAATAATAATTTTAATAGTAAAAATAATGATAAAATAAAAAATTATAAAAATTATGATGATAGTGATAGTAACAACAATATCATAAATAGTGATACAATTAGGAATAATGAAAATAAAAATATTAGAAATAACAGCAGTAGTGACAGTAATAAAAAATCGAATATTAAAAAAATAAACAACAGTAGTTTTAGCTTAGTTATTAATAATAATAATTTAAATAGTAAGACAGCAACTAATAATAATGATGAAAATAATGATATAGAAAATAAAAATTCAAAACGTCAGAAAATGTCAAATAAAATGACATTTTTGACAAACAAAAGTCAAAATAATCTCAAATATGATGCTAGTGACATTCAAAAAGATGATGAGACTGTCAATTTTCATGATAATCAAATAATTAATTCCATCAAATCAATTAATAATTATAATATTATTGACATTGATGATATTTTTAGTAAGAAAATTTTAAATGAAAATCTTAAAATGGATCGCAGCAGCGATGTGACTAGCAATAGAATTGATGTAAATATATCACTATCGAAAAATAGCTATGATGTAAATCCAAGTCGAAGTAAAAGAAGAAAACGATGGCTTCCAGATGAGGTAAGTTATGAGAAGTTTTTGCTAAAATCTTTATAAAAACTAGTAATAAATTTTATTTTAACTCAAATAGTACTAAAAACATATTCTTTTTAAAATATTGTTATCTACATTTATGTCAAGAACACGATTATAATATGTATTTGAAATATGTCAGTCTGATTAAATAAGGATTACTTTTTAGGATTTGTTGTTATTGACAATTTAATGGAATGAAATTAAAAATAAATACCAACTATGATAAATTTTTTGTTGGAAAAATAAGAATAAACTATTATAATGATGTCAAATCTATATTTGTTGGGTAATTTTATAATTCGTATGTATTTTGTGTCCGTTTATGAACATATACATTTTGTATTCCTTAATTTTTTGTCCTACATGACAAAATTACAGCCACATTACTATGATTTAAAAGTAATATTTTCAAGTTTTTTACAGATATTGTAATAAGTAAGTGCTTATAACGCAATTTATATTTGTGTACACACACCCATACATAATTATAGCAAAGTTTATGAGGCAAATACCATACATAATTTTAGCAAAGTATATTATGTAATACCAAATTATTGCTAATATTTCGTGGCCAAATACAGCTTAATTTGTACACATTATTTGGTTCTTTTAGAAAAATTCTAATTCTGTATAAAAGAATTTCGAAGTGAAAAAAAGAGATTTCATTGCATAATGTTCCAGAATTTGCAACTCTTTTGGAAAAGAATAATGTTGAAAGAAAGCGTTTTTGTTTAAAATTATAAACATTTTCGTTTGAATAAAGATGACTTTATCTCTAATGACCCCAATTATTTTATGTTTGAACTTTCACTTAAAATATTAAGATTCGTCGGGGTAAAATTTTAAATTGTCTACATATTATGCAAAATATGTATAAAACACATTTACTGATGTAGATATAACGAAAAAAATATTAATTTAATTAACTTCTCGATAACCATCTTTCAAAAAAATTTAAGATCATATTATGTAGTTCTACTCGCATGTGTTTTATCCTATTTTATATGGAAATAAAACAAATATAATTATCTACATTATTATAAAATCTATTTAAACAACACTGAAAATTTTTTATTAGCATTTCTTTCTAAGAAAAAATACTTAAAACTGTCGTGTCACAATAACATAAAAATCTGGTGTGGTCAGCATATAAACGACTGCAAGATGTTTAGTTTAGCGAAAATGTTGGATAAAATTTGAAAATGCCCTTTAAATACTTCTTTTAAATTTTAAAAGCACTTTTAAGAAAGCTTTTAGTTAACATTCCTAATAAAATGGAAATTTGGTTCAGGGTAGAGTTTCACTTTATGCCTTTGGATTTCCAATTCAATTTACGGTAGCATAATTAACTCAAGTTTTAAATTTCAACAAATTTCGTTAGTTAGTTCCTTAAATAGGGTAAAAAGTGTAAAATCGGCATTTAATTCGAATGCCGACCTCTGACTCCAAAAATTTTATAACACCCTGAATTCATATATTAATTGGACTATTTCTCCTTGTATGCGCAAGAATGTATATTTGGCACGGTGTAAACGTTCAACGTTTGCTGGCACCCGATTTCTTCAAAAAGTTAGGTGGTTCCTCGTACTATCAAGCTAATTGTATATGTGTAAAATTTCAAGTTAATCTGTTGAATATTTTCTCCAAAATGATCAAAAATATAAAACCGGCCCGGTCCGTACTCGAATAACGCAGCTACACGAAAAATTGGTTTACATGTTTGTTTAGAAATTATAAGTAATACTACTCGTTGTACGACAATACAAGCAATTAACAAAAATTGATAAGTATATATTCTACAATTTTCCAAAATTTACAACTTTCTCGTGACTCAAAATCTAATTCCTGTATAACTTATTCATTAGTTCAACGAAATGAAAAGGTAGTTTTAAGACTTAGCAAAATGTTAATTGGCTAATTCTAAACAGTAAATTTCGATAACTTCAACTTCATTTCTCTTTATCAGTTCATTAAAGTACAAATTCAGTTTTGCTTAAGCAATACTATTAAAAATTGGAAGAACTTTGATTACAAATCTCTTATTGTATTAGTATAACAATATTTAATTTTTTCCTAAATTTATTTATTTATCATTTACAACATCAAAATTTACTTATTTACTCTACAGTTTATATATTTCTATACGCATATAAAATAAACTCGATATTAGAGTGTCTTCTTTGTAATAACATAAAGTTCTGTGTAGAATTATAAATGTAACCATTTTACATAATACATTACATTATAATATAGTACATATATAAATTTGAGTACATAATTAAAACAAATTTTCGTAATTAGTTTTTAACATAAAGAAAACAAAAATTTGAGTTCCTTCAAAACATGACACATAAAAACTGAAATTATTAAACAAGGTGTGCTATTTATACGTTACTACATTCCATTACAATATATTTTTCAATTCAGTTTAATAGAGAATTAAAGTATTTTTATACGACATATATATGTAATTTTCCTCTCGACAAAAATGTTGGCGATATTGAGAAGTTAACTATTAAAGTTCATCGTACTAGATTATTTTAAGCCATGCTCTTTCGAAACAAAGGTGTATATCTGACCTAGAACAATTTATGCAAATTTTTTGGAAAACGATGCATACTAGTTTAAAGGCCGGAAAGTCTCCTGGTTAATTAATTAAGTCGGGCTTTGAAGAGGTTATAATTTATTCCTACATAATTTTATAAGAATATTTTATAATGCAAATAGAATAAGATTTTTGTAAATTTCTACCTTCGACATATTTTGTAAATACAAAAAGCATACCAAAAACTGAAAGAATTAAATTTTTTACTGAAGCGAAAAAAAACTGCTCTTATGAGAACCGTGTAACCGCAACACAGATGTGAAGCGGAGCTTTTGCTATTAAACACTCAATTAAAGTATTTCAATGGAAAATACAATAATAACATAATTGAAAAAAAGAAAAGTAGAATTTTCGCAGTATACACTGTCCAAATTATTCGGAAATTACTGTGTAGTACTTATTGTAATGGAATACTCGGTATAGTACACATATTCTTTAATATTATATTTACACATAATGTTTAAAATAAATATTATAAATTTAACAAACCTGAATATAATTTCGTACCAATGTACCTTTACATTAATAAAAAAAAAAAACAACCATAAGAGATCCTTGTGAACTTTGTCAAACATATTACTATATTAATATTAACCAAATTTAGTGAATAAATGTCACTTACATCATCAAGACTAATTTGAAAAATCCTTTTTATCATTTTTTCTTTCATTTTGTATTCATATTCGTTTTTTCTTTACTCTCTTTCATGTAGTAAACATCTATGTATGTTATATTTACCATAATATCAAAACACAAAGTGTCAAAATGAAATGATATACCCATTAAAATGTATTTGAGAGCTTACTTAGTACTTAACCCTTTCAAAATATAAGAAAACATGTGTATAACCAAATACGGGTATATGTAATATTATATAAGTAAAAAGGAGGCTCAATAGAGAAAGAAATAGAGAAAGAGGTTCAACAAAAATGTAAAAGAGTAAGAAATAAGGTTTTTTTTTGTATTGAAAATATTTAACATATAAAATTATAAAGGTTTGATGTGGTTAGCACATAACGAAATTCTAATATAACTATTTTTATTAGTTTTCAAAATAGGGTTACGTAATCCAAAAATTTCATGTTGATTAAGAAATGTAAAATCGGGCCTGAAAAATTGGAAATGTGTAATTTAATTTAGAATTTAATTTTTATTGATTAGAATAATACTTATGCCAATACAATGGAAAAACTTTTTACATCTTCGAGCATAAATATATTGAAGCGTATTTGGAATAACTAGAGAACAACAAATTTTTTGTCTTTATTAGAAATTCACCGGTCATCCATACACAATATAATTTCAATCATTTTGTTACTTAACTAGATTTTGATATTAAACGTGAAGCTACCTCCTTAAACATAAATTGAGTTAAATATATAATAATTAGTTTATGCTCTACAAGCATAATATGTGCCATACAAGTCTGTTCACATCCAATTGAAAACATCGTTAATGGCATATAATAAATTTATAAAAATCTAAAAAACTGCAAGTTGACGCTGTAAAACGTTAATATCATACACGTAACATATCTATATTAACATTAAAAGCATTCTGTATTTGTTTGTATAGATCTTAAATGAATGTACGGATAGATAGACAGATACAAGTGACAAAGTTGATTACAAGATTTCACCCCATCCCCCCTCCATCTTTAATTATTATATGTGCACATTCACATCTCTCTTATATTTGCATATACATAGCTCATATAAGAGCTATGTATATGTATATGTATAACATTAATAAAAAGGGAAAAAAAAATAAGCATTTTTGAAGTTAAAATTTTTATATGCATGAGATATTGTGATTTTCATTATTGATTTAATTTCTTTACAGGTGAAAATATGTATGGATGTGTGCGTTGTTATGTGCTATATGTTGTTATGTGTACATGTGCTATAATTATGTATAAAATTGTATATGTTTAGATATATATTTATGAAATCGTGTTATTAATAATAAGTCTGTAGCTCTTCTTTTATTTATCAAATGGATAAAAGAGCTCTAATCGCATTATAGCATTAAATTAGCGTTAAATTGTATGCAATATGAACACATTAAAAATTTTTTCCCCTTGACTTTAATTTACAAATATAAGATTTGTATAAGTATAAATTTTATTAGGTTTGGTTTTCATATATATATACATTGTGAATAATATTAAAATTCTGTGAATGCATTTAGCTTAATTTTGGTTAAATTTTTATATATTTACATAATTAAATTTAAAATTACTTTAAATAAAAGAGAATAATGCTGAAATGTTTTAAAAATTTCTAATTATATAACTCTGTTATACAAGGATATAAAAATTATCTCTTAAATTAAAATTATTTTCAACAAAAATAATGTAAATTTTAAATAAATTGAGACCAAATCAATGGTAGTGAATTTTTTTCTTTGAAAGAGTAATGTCCTTTGAAAAGGAATTTTTAATTTAAATTATTTTTATTAATATAACAAAAATTATTGCATAAATATAGGATGGGGAAAAAATTTAAAGAAGCGTTAACATAACGGTTGAATTGAAAAGTTAAGTAAGTGAGATAATTAAAATAATTAGATTTTTTGATATCAAGTCTTTCATCTTAAACTTTTTGTTTTTATAGAAGTTTGGAAAAACTTGCAGGATCAAATATAAGTCGTTGATAATTCAATTTCGACTAATTTCGAACGGCGATAATTTGGAATGGTAGAAAGGTGGTAAACCATTGTTTTTCTAATAAAGTAAACTAAATTAGGTACTATAATACTGCGGTAGTAGAAACCATCTCCTACTTTTATCTACCATAGCTTCGATCAGAGTAAAACAACTGGTTGGAATCTTCTAATTTGGTTGGAAAAAAGCTAAAAATTAGTATATTTATATAGGAAAATGCAATTTTTTTTGTAACGATATTAAAAATACAACCGAGCATGAATGAAAGAAAACATGCATTAAAATTATCCATAATAAGGAGTTTTCAAAAAATTGAAAAAAAAAAAAACCAAAGATAATGTACCTCTTCTTCCGCTATTGCGATCTCGCACCAGATAAAATTGAAAAGAATTCTATATTGGAACCTTATTTGAAAATTATTCATTTTTAGCTGTTGTTTTTTAACATTTCCATTTGCCGAATATCTTTCAAAATGATATTTTGAAAGAAAAAAAACAAACCAATTTATTGTTGAAATATTTTGTGGGAAATCAACTGAATTCAAAAACTATACCGAAACTTTAAAAACTTGATCTTGATTCATAAATTATTTTGATAACACTGTCGATGTTAACTTCATAACATGAATTCGTATAATGTTGTAAGTTCTATTAATTTTAAACAGTTCTTCTGAATTAATTACGAGAAAATTTTTCACGCAAGCTTAAACAATTTTTTTTGGATTTACCAACCTCGAACCGAATTTTAGAAATCTTCTATACTTTTTCATATTAAATTAACAAAAGCTTTAATTTTATGTAAATAAATTTAATATCAACATCGCAAGTTATTACATTCTATACTACAGAGCTTATACTTAACTAGAATCTTCATGTGAATTGCATTAAATTCAACAGTAAATAATAAATATTAAAAATCTAAGAGGATGTTTTGGAAGAAATAATTAATAAATAGGTAATATTGTGTACATACATTACTTTGAATAATGTATGTGAAATATTGGTCGAATGGAAATCAATAACAATATTAAGCTCATTTCAAAAATTAATAAATGAAATATGTATTTATGTATGTATATACATATATTATAAAATAAATAAAAATAATTAAGCTATTTGATGTACTACAAATTCAATATTTTCTTTTAATCACAAAATGATGATAAATATACGAGTATATTGTACTTAATTCAACATTAATGTTACCTACCGAAAAAAGTAGTGCAATATGAAAATTTTAAAATTATTAAAGTACTTGAAGTGGAAATTCAAAAATTTCCCTTATTCATGAATTGGTTTTTTAAAACAATTTTATTCATTCATTATAAATCGAGGTTACAACGAATTGCATCAACTCTTTTATTCTATAAATGAAAAAAAAAAATGTATACGTGCCACAGTAGATAGATAACCACATTTTATTAAATGGTCTTTATTTCGAAAGTAATCTATGTGAAAAGTGTACGTAGACAAAAAATGGAATTAAAAATTTCTGAAATAAAAAATCCTTTCAAATCTAAATAGGTATATTGAATTCCAATAAAACAGAAAAAAAATGTGTGTATAATTTAATAAAACAATAGTTAGTTTGGAATGTAATTCGAATTGTTTAAAAAATTTTGTACATATGTTATAGGGCACTAATATAAATGAACTTACATTGCATTTACATGACAACTTCATGTTATTACGCTTTTTATTAGGATAATGGTTTGGCTATTATATATTATGTATATAATATTTTTTTATTGTATTTCGAAAATCCTTTATACTTAATTTGTAAATTATTTTTCAATTGAAAATTTTAAATTCGAAAATCGAGCAAAAAATCAATGTAGATGAAATCTTTTTCCATGTGTAGTTGAAGCAATCCAAAAAAATGTTTGAAAAAAAGTGTTTATTAGTTTCACTCTGGACAGTCAGTTTCATACGATAGTTAGTCCGTGAAATCATTTACATTATGTCTACACCCTTTAAGATGAACGGTTGATATTTTAAATAAAAATTAATCTCCACTGAAAGCTTATTTCCGTATACAATTTTTATATTTGCGAAAAAACGACATTTTTGATTATTTATTGCAATGAAACTACAAATATTTTTTTTTAAATTAACAACTTAATCCTTAAATATTAATCTTTAAATTCGAACATTATATAAACGCCTCTTTCAATTTTTTTTTTTTTTCACCTTATTTGGATGGAATCATTGAAATCTATGGAATAATTTCCTTTATATATGAAAATAATTTTAATAATTTAGCAGATTGTTTTTAAAAGTAGCTTTTATAGTCGTTGAAAGGAAAAGTGCTACTTTGAAATACATTTGTTTGACCCAATTTTTATTTAATGAATATGTGCGTTTAATGTGGTTTTATTTTTTCTTTTTGCAAATTTTGTACGTTAAATCACATTGAAAAATAGTGTTTTATAAGGGCCTTAAAAATTGTATTATCTTTATTGTAATTTTATTCAAATTTTTCACAATTTCGGTAAGCCTAAACTAAAATAATTTTGCAATTCCCTTCCTATATCAGTATAGAAATAATTTCATTCAACGCTCAAAAAAAATTATCTGTTAATTCTCCTTTTTTTGTAAAATTTATAATGAAATTTTTAATTAAAGTTTAATTTTTTTTTATTTACAGTTATCGGATAATAGAGATCCACCACTTCCTCTTGATTTGGATGTTCCATACAATGATGAATTTAGTTTATTTGAACGTAATAGCAATACAAATCTTCGTAATAATGGTAAAGTGATCAATAATAGTAGCGGTAGTAACGGTAGAAGTAGTAGTGCTAGCAGTACTAATAATAGCAAAGGTAATGCTAGTACATCAACATCTTCAGGAACTGGAACAATTCGAACAAATAGTAAAGAAAATTTAGTAATTGGTATAGGTAGAAGTCCTACAACCAATCAAAATAGTGGTAATAGAAATGTAGATATACGAAATATTGAAAATTTTAGTGGAAATGGAGGAGGAAATGGTAATAGTTTTAGTAACAGTAATAGTAACAGTAATAGCAACAGTGGTGATATTATAACAGGAAATGGAATTTATTTAAAAAATAATCGAAATCGTAATATCCTAGTGAATCAATATAGTCCAAATAATCCAAATAGTGATTTTACAAATAATATAAATAATAATAACAATAATAATAATAATAATTATTATAGTAATATCAGTAATAATGGAAGACAAAATAATTATAATAATAATCATAGAAATATAATAGGTAATAGTTATAATGGTGATAATAGTAATTTTAATTCAAATACAAAAATTCGGACTATTTTCAATACAAACTTTGATATAATTAACAATAACAATAATAATTTTAATTTAAATGGCGGCGGTAATAGCAGTCCAAGCCATAAAACTCATGTTGAAATTATAACACGTAATGGTGCAACGAAAAGACCAAATATTATTGGTAATAATTATAATCCAGATGTTTATTTAACAAATACAAAAAATGGTAATAGTAAAATAAATAGTCATTTAAATTTAAATATTCGTAATGAATTGGATTCATCATTGTCATCATCAACAAGTGCCAGACCATCGTTATATGATAGAAAAAGCACATGTATGTTATATTTACAAGCTGATCATACATTTTTTCAAAAAATGGGTTCAGACGAGGCCAGTATTGAAGCTATAACACGGCATGTTCAAAGAGCTAATACAATATATAAAAATACAGGTAAGTTATAATTAACATGTTATTCAATTAATATCATTTTTTTTAGATATTTTGTTCATTAGAACTATAATATTCATAAATTTCTAGTAATATTTATTCAATTAATTTACCTAATTTTAATTTATGTTTCTCGCCAGAAAATTCGTTTTCACTTTTAAGATTTTAACAAAAGTCATACCCAATTTACACTTTTAAAGTTTTAAGTATAATATAAAATTTTTTCTTGGCGTGTAGCATGAGCTATACTTTAAATTTATTTAGTAATTTTACCATTTAACCAGTGCGTTTCTACTTCTCGCTTTTAACAATTTTGTTAAATCATTTTTATACGCGCGATTTAAAAAAATCTGATGTGGTCATCACGTAAATGCGTTTTCTTTACAATTTTTAGGATGCTATTAAGCTTATAGTTAACATTTCTCGAAAAATAATATAAATTTGGCTCTTAGTCAAGTTCCGTTTTTTGCCATCGGAATTCTCCGAAAAGTTAACCAATTAGTTTCGGTAACAACAAGAACTTAAATAAAAAAATTACAGGTTCATTAATTTAGCACCGAATTTAAATATGAAATTTCATTGATTTAGAGATCTGGCATTTCCCAAAACTTTATCAATCTGGATATAACCAAAATTAACTTACATATTGCTTCAGATATACACGTGCACATACAGACCAAAAGAGAGACAGGTCGCCAGACAGACAGATCCGCGTTTCTCTAAAAATTGTTTATTTATGCTTCCATGCCATGGAGAAATTCGTTCCCACCGAAAACTCGACCTCTGAAATTTAGTGAAACAACGGTAAAAAGATTTTATTATTTCTGTAAATTACTAAAATCTAATTTCAAACTATGTATTTTAATTGTGTTAACCTAAATTTCGTGTAAATATCAAAATGAAATCTAATAATTTAAGTGATACTTAATAATTTCACTGATATACATATTTACATGTACCTAAACTGTTATTTAGTTTTACAATTTCAGTTATTAAGCAATTCAATTTTCCTTCCGTTATCCTATAAAATTCCATTCTATTATAATAAAACTTTTATCATACAAAAAACAATAAAATTTAGATCACTATGTTGGCAATTGCATAAACTTTATCTTATTTAAAAATAGTGTTCCACATAAAAGAATCCTATATTTTAATATAATAACATTATATAAAGTTTAAAAATTCAATCTAAACACAATGTTCTTTGAAAGCAATTGTTATGAATATGAATACAAAAATCTCATATGAGTACATATACACATATAATTACCGGTTCCTTTAAATCATATTGCAAAAATCAATTCAAATCATAAAAAATATCATCATAATTCATATTGTGATATAAAATTATTTCAAAGAAACAAGTATGTATAACTTTTAGCGAGATTTTTATATGACAATAATTAGGAAAAAAAAATTTTTATATGTCACCTGGAAATGAATTTCTATTTCTACTTTTAAGTTATAGAAATGAAAATTCAATTGAAAATTCAATTATAACCTATACAAGCGCTGAACTGAATAGCTATATTATTAGAAATTATTTAATAAAACGGAAGAGAAATATATGTATGTATGTGTACAGAATAAAACGTTCAACATCTCATTCATTATAATTCCTGTGAAATTTCTTTTCAAATTCTATATTATTAAAAATATTCAAAAATATAATAATATTTCTTCCTCTCCTTTTCTGAAAACACAATTCATTATTATAGTACTTATTATTACACCAATATTATTAAATGAGTACATACCATATGTAATATGAGTACATAAATATGAGTACATAACATATAGCATTTATAATGTACGTAGAACAGGGATGCAGCAGCGTTGAATTCTATGATTTTTCAAAGAAGAATTTCAATTTTGAGATTTAATTATCAATTTTGTATTTTACAGATTTCATAACATTGAAAATTGCTTGATTTTCAGTCAATTGTTTGATTTTTCGATAAATTGAAATTCTCTACAGAATACTTTCAAATCTCAATCAACAGTTAACATATCTTGGTCGCCTAAAGCATGGTCTCATTTTGTTAATTTTCAAATATTTCTCCAAATCAATAAAATTTTAAGATTAAGAGGTGCATACTTGCGATTAATGTTGCGTAATGCATAGAGGTACAGTAAATGTTGTTGGCCATTTTGTTAAGGAGTTGCTAATTCTCCGAAAGTTTTAGTTAAGTTTATAATTCTAGCTTACATTCTTTAACAAGATTTTAAACTAACTCTTATAATATTCTGATACGTTATGCACGTTCATCTCAAACAATTTTGGTATATGTAATTATAGTATATTGAAAATTAAACTACATTAAAAAAACTTTTTTAAATTAAATTTTTATTTGAAAATTTTTAATATCCTTCTTGGAACACTCATTAAAATGGGCACATACACATGTTATTATATTCTCAATGTATATGTTTATTACACAAAATATATTTTTCATGTATGATAATTATAATTTTTAGATTGAATTTGACGAATTCTTGGTTATCATTTTTAATATAAAAGAAAATTAGAATATTTTAAGTTTTTCTTGTACAAAATTTTGACATTCGCGTTTTATTTTGAAATAATAAGGTACCTATTTCAACCACATAAAACATATTTTTAACTCATCTACATAATTCGAAAGAATTCTAAATAAATAAAATTTTTTATGTCTTCTTCTATGTAATAATTTCCTAGACTTTGAAATTTTTATTTATTCTTTAATAATTACATAGAATTTCTAAATAAACATATTTATTGTATGTATATATGCAAATGACGGTTTCTCCTAATAGAAGAGAGTATTTTAGATGAAAGCAAATTATCATGCAATAAAGAGTATAAAGAAGTATAAGGTTTGATATTAAATTGAAATAGAATTTTTTTAATTATACCGTGTATTAATTTTATTATTAAGTGTATATACAAAAGGTGCATGAGATTGAAGGGAAAAAAGTTAGGAAACAAATTTTGGAGTTATTTTTAATTAAATTTTCGCTTTAATTAAAATTCCAATCCGATATAAATCCAATACATTTTATCAAGCTTAAAATTTCGAAATGAAATTTAAAAATATCGAAATTTATTAAACGTTTTATAAATAATGAAGGTTTTATTAATAAATTTAAGCGAAGTTTATTACCAAATTACCAAGAATTTACCAAGTATTACCAAAAATTTAATAAGAAATTACAAAAATTTTTTAATATTATATGCAGTCTCGATTACTTCATAATAAGAAAGCATAATGAGAAAGATAGAGTAAATTTTATTTTTAATTTGTATCTATATACAATCAAAACTTGAAAATGTGATTTACATTTATATGATACATCCCAAAAGTTGAGCAATCCGCGCCATGGTCGAAATAAACTTACGTATAAAATTTAATCAAAATCGGTCCAGCCGAACTTGAGATACACGCGTGCACCCACAGACCGATAGACCGACAGGTTGCTAAAAATAGTTTATTTTCATCTCCCTACTATGGAGAAGTTTATTCCCACCGAAAACTCGATATGCAAAATTTGTTGCCATCAAATAATCTACCTGTTGTATACACAATACGGTCGATAAATATAACAAAAAAAATCTGATGTGGTCAGCACATAAACGACCGCATTGTGTATTGTCTAGTTAAATGAAAGTGTTACAGAATATTATAAAAATGTCTGTTAAATACTTCTTTCCAATTTTTAGGACATTAGTAAGCTTATAGTTAACATACTTAGAAAAATGTAAATTTGGCTCTTAGTAGAGTTTCGCTTTGTGCTACCCGAATTCCCTGAAATGATCGCCAGTTAGTTTCGGTAACAACCAGAACTCAAATATCAAATTTCAAGAAATTCCATCAATTTGTTCTGTGGATATGGTCAAAAATGTAAAATCGGCCCGCAAATCAGTTCTCGAGCCCTGATCTTTCCAAAAAAGTTATATGTCCAATGCTTTAATATGAGGAATTCATATATCAAATTTCAATGAAATCGGTTGATTATTTCTATATACACAAAAGTGTATGTTTGGCCCGTAGTAAACGTCTAGTTGCCGATGCCTGATCTTTCCAAAAAATTTACATGTTCATTGTTTTAATACGGGGAATTCATATATTAAATTTCAATGAAATCGGTTGATTATTTCTCTTTATATACACAAAAATGTATATTTGGCCCGTAGTAAACGCCCAGTTGCTGATGCCTGATTTCTTCCAAAAGTTAGAAATTTTTGCGCATGATCGAGCAAAGCTTATATATGAAATTTCAAGTAAATCGGTTGAATACTTTCTTCAAAATGGTGAAAAATGTAAAATCGGCCCGCAAATCCGTTTTCGAGCCCTGATCTTTCCAAAAAATTTATATGTTCATTGTTTTAATACGAGGAGTTCATATATTAAATTTCAATGAAATCGGTTGATTATTTCTCTTTATATACACAAAAATGTATATTTGGCCCGTAGTAAACGTCTAGTTGCCGATGCCTTCCAAAACATACGAATTTTTGCTGACGGTCGAGTTGAGCTTATATATAAAATTTCAAGTAAATCGGTTGAATATTTTCTTCAAAATGTTCAAAAATGTAAAACAGGCCCGCTAAAAAGTGCAGTTCCCGAGGCCTGATATATACCAAAAGTTGATCGATCCGTGCCATGGTGGAAACAAACTTACATATAAAATTTCATCAAAATCGGTTCAGCCGAACTTAAGATACACGCGTGCACACACAGACCGACAAACCGACAGACCGACAGACCGACAGACGGACAGACCGACAGACCGACATACCGACAGACCGACAGGTTGCTAAAAATAGTTTATTTACACTTCCTTATTCACTTTTTGATGAGCTTTAACGTTAGTCTTTTAATTTTGAGATTTTGGGTGTCCTTACATGACTAAGTGTGGTTGATGATTAATGATTATTAAAACAATACATGAATTATGAATTTTACTAATACAACATCATAGTTGCGGAATTAATAAGAATGTGCTTATTACACTACTAATTTATCTTAATGGAAATTTCTTCATGCAACTGCAGAACAGATGGATGACGTAATCAAAGGAACGAGTTAAAGGCAGAAAAATTCATTAAAAAAGTTTTTCTCCTCGAACTGGACTCGAACCAGTGACCTACCGCTTTCTAGGCGGACGCTCTACCAACTGAGCTACAGAGGCATGAAGAAATTGCCGACGAAATGTTCTCTACATTACTAAGTATTTGTTTTGTTTACATTGATTGCTACATACAATCTACTATTGAAACACACAATAACAAGAACATATATATTTATAGGATTGTGCCTATTGCACTAATTAAATTATGAAGGTGAAGTTATATAAAAATTAAACTAGCTCTTTCAATTTTTAAGTTATAAGAAAGTGTCGGCAATTAAAATTTTCAATTTTTTCAATTTTAATGACCGACACTTTTTTATCATAAAATTTTCTTTAAAATATACGAATGTCGCTTGGTACTATGCTCATTATTAACTCAGTCTCACCTGAAAAGTAATTATTGGCAAAATTATCCGCCAGTAATCATGAAAAAAAAATCAATTTGGTTTAATCCTTATTTCTGCGTTTACTTCCAAATAAGATTGTTAAAGATTTTTATATTTTTTAAAAATGAACAAATATACAATTGAACAAATATAAAAGTAGCATGGTTCAATGATCAATCCATTAAGGTACAGATTGTACATGATTATTTTAATATTATTACTTACACGGCAATGCATGAAAATTAATTCCGGTATACAAGCGTAAATTATAAAATATGTAAAATGAATTTTGTATGATAATCAATAACCATGACGACCTACACCTACAAAAACAAATATAATAAAATATGCACGAAGTAAAAGTAAAAAAAAAAGTTAATTGCATTTCCATTTCCGACACAAAAAGAATATAAGGATAAAGAAATTAAAATTATATTTTTTTTTGCCCTTCACACACATTTCGACAAACATATTTTATTTATTTATTTAAATAAAAAATTTAATTAAAATTCAAGTGTTCTTTCAAATTTTCATATGATCAGATTCAGTTTCAAATACAATAATCTACATATAATCGCTGAATATTCTTTCCATATTTGTTTCAATTAAAGACCATTTTATCATGCTAAAATTTTAAATCTATATTAAGAAATATGTGTATATATGTACATCGAATACAATGAATTTTCCTTTACTGAATAGTTTCTTCGGCGAATATTATTAAAAAAATTTTGGTTAGTTTATGACTCCAAAGAACTAAATGTCTACGACAAAAATAATAAACCAACTTCCTCAAAGGCCAAGCTCGTAAAATATTTGGATATGAGTTATACTCGTAAGTGTCGTTAATTATTTTTCAAGCTGATAATTGCAAGATCTCTAAAAAATGTTTTGAATTTGAATTTATAAAATCAAAGTGAATTTTTTCAAAACAAAGTTTGTAAACTCTATTTAATTTATTTGAATCCCTACAAGCAACCGTTTTTCGACAAGCTTTGATTATAATCAAAACAAGATTTTATAAAAAATTTTATAAATATTCCAATGTTTAAGGAAAATACTAAAATTTTTGAAAAAACTTAAGAGCGGGGGTAAGACACACATTTCTCAAACGAAAAATTCTTCAAAATTTTATAAAAAGAAACAAAATCGTAGGAAAAGAATTTTCAGCTTCATACTTCAAATATTTTGATTTAAAATCTTCTTGGCATAATTTTGAAATATGTTTATTTTTGTAATGTTTTAATTAGTTAACTTTTCGTCTTTAAAAACTTATTCCTAAAATTTTTAATAATAACTTCAAAATTCCAAAACGGAAAATATTTATTTTTAAATATTAAAAAGCTTTTCCTGTGCTCTTCCTCCTACGAAATTCCTTAAGAACATGATTAATATTAAAGGTCAAAAGGTTTTAAATTTTGAAATAAGTTATTTTTATCGTGTATTGAAATAACTGAAGATGTTAGAAGCTCTGGAATTCTAATTAAAATTTAAAAAATTAATTAAAATTTCAGAGATTCTTGAAATAAAAAATTAATAAAATTTCTTATCGCGTTTACAAATTCTACCTTAAATTCGTTTTATATTAAAGATTCACGTAAACAACTATGAACAATTTCATATTGAATTGAAAAGCTCACCTATTACAAGTTGTTCACTATTTAGTATAAATATTGGGTATTGGCACAATTGAAGTGTCTTCTCTATGTTTACTTTGAGATCAAATTTTCCGCATAGAATCGAAATGCATGCAGTTATTTTAACATTTTTATTAGCCCATTGGATTTATACGTTAACATTTTAAATTAATTATCATAAAAAAAAATTTTCATTTTTATTTAACATTTTGGATGCGTTCAACATAATTTCAGAGTTTATTTTAAGTAATGAAATGATGAGCTCACTCTTAGCAATTAAATTGAATAGTATGCCAAATAACATTACAAGAATAATAAAAACAATGCCTGCACATACCTTTTACTTTCTGTATTAATCTCGAGAAAATCAGCTCCAGAAAAATCCTTGAGTAAATGATATTTTCTTTCCTACAAAATAATTTCCAAATCAATATGATAAAAATTTTAATTTTAAAAACAAAGTTAGTATTTCGTTCCGCTTTAATTTAATTTATTTAGAAATTTAAATTAAATTTTGTTGATAGGCAATTTTTACCTTTAATGGGAATTTATTTGTTCTAGAGAATTACATAAAACAGTAGGAGACAAAATTGGAAAAATTAAAACTAATTTTTGTTTTTCGTTTCTGTAAAAATAAGTTCACTTTTTTAAGCACGAAGTTTAAAAATTAATTAAGTATGCTGAAGAAAGTGGTTTGATGAGGAAAGAAATCAAAAGTACAAAATTATTTTCAAATAATATATTCTAATTAACTTTAATGAAATAGAACTGTTAACCGAAGAAATATAGACAAAATTTGAAGAAAATTAATTTTTAACAGACGTTCTAATTTTTCTTACTTGATTTCAGATTTTAATAACGATGGAAAACCTGACAATATAACGTTTATGATCAAAAGAATTAAAGTACATAACGCTAATGCAGTAAAAGATCCTTCATATCGTTTTCCTGGAAATTATGGTGTCGAGAAATTCTTAGAACTTTTTTCTGGTAAGTAAAATGAAATCAGCGTTGATTGACTAAATACGTTGATTCCATCTATATATATATATATATATATTTATTATGCCGCATATTATAGCAACAAAGAAGCACAGGATCCCGATTTAAGCTTTAATTAAAGACAGCTATTTTCTTTTTTTAAATTATGAATAATTTTTTTTTTTTGTTTTTTCAGAGGAAGACTATGACGCATTCTGTTTGGCTTACATGTTCACTTATAGAGACTTTGAAATGGGAACATTAGGTTTAGCATGGACTGGTGATTTAAAAAATGCTGGGGGTGTTTGCGAAAAAAATGGGGTAAGTTTTATTATTTTTGAATTTACCCAAAATTAATACAACGAAGTTTGATACCACAGAATACAGTAACTACTTGATGAAGAAAAACAACTTAAACTATGGCATATATCTATGTTAGATTCGATGACAAAAATATTCAAATGTTGTAAAATACTTTGCCTCCATATTTTTAAATCAAAACCTCTCAGGAATTCTATACTACATTGAAATTATATAACTCGTGCCTAAATAATTGTGACTGAAGTATATTTTATGGCAAAGTACATTTTATGAAACATGAAAGTATGTATGTGCAAGTACATAATGACGATAATTGATTCGTATTACAAAAACAATTTAAACGCAGCTTCTTACTCGGAAAAATATTTCCAATTTTGTATTTCACTAATAAATTTCAAGTTGAAATATCACTTAAACTTATTAACACCTTTCAACGATGCTCTATATATGTGCATATTTTGCTATTAAAACAAATTTTCCGGAAAATATAACATTAACAAGACACCTACATCGGACATAATAACATCTACGTAAACAAAATCCATTTTATAAGCATTAATTCAGATATGTATGCTATAATATGTATGAAGCTTCTATTTTTCGATATGCTTCCTCTACATTAAAGTACAATAAATTGAAAATTTGATTAGTTTTACTGTGAAAATTTCTTTTTACTCAGCTAGTCATCTATGAAGATGAAACTGGGTAGAAAAACATTTTTATTTTTTCTTTTTTTTTTTTTTATTAAAATCAAATCAGTTGATGTGCTAGAACAATGTAACAACAATAGCAGATGACAAGATTGATGATTGTCAGTAACATCGTCATTAAATATATATATATACCAAATTTTTTTTCTTTTCATTGTTCATTTTGATCGATATCTGATAAAGAATGAATAGAATCAAACATTTTTGGACATTTTAAAAATATATTTTAAAAATGAATTTTTGAGTATATTTCATTGACACACACAACATTATTTTGCTTTTCCTTTTTCTTTTTACTAGTGTCATCATTAAAATAGAGTAAAGGAAAACCCCGAGAACAATAAAAATAAACGTCAAATATTTTAAGGACATTTTCAAGAAAGTGTATTTTTTTTTTCTATAAAATCTTTTTGTGTGTACAGAAAATTTCTATACGTAGTTGTGTGATGGTATATGTGTAAATGTACAAAAAGATTGATGACAATGTCCTTCACTTATCACAACACACTCTGATTATTGATAAAGATACATGCACTAATAAATTTTTGGATTAGAAATGCTACACTTTCGTTTAACTAAATTTATCCTTTATTTGTTAGCATATTTCTAAAATTATTGGTAAAATTATTTTCCAGTTATTAATTCCGTACGTGCATCTGTATTTTTTAATTTCGTATTACTCTGCATTTTCCAATTTACTATAAGAAAATTATTACACATTTTCCAGCCTCTAGAAGCTATAGTTACTTAAAGTCTTGAAGCAGCATTTTTTTTTAATAACATATTTTGCTCAAACTACAAACAATTTTTAAACTTCGCTAACGCAGAAATTAAGACTCTGCTACCGTAAAAGAGCACACACAAATTTAACTAAGATAAAATACAAGAATTTGTTAATAAAAATATTATTGAGCCAGTTTTTTTCTTCACATTTTTTAGCATCATCGGGCCCTTAGTGAAATTTGAAATTAGAATCCTTTTCTTCCATTTACGATTCTAGATCAACCGATTCCTTACTTTTCCAGAAAAATTTATTAGTTTATGCTTAACAACAGTATTTTAAATATTAAATTTCAAAGAATCAGTTGATAATTTTTCTATATATGTGCAAGAGTGTGAATCTGTTTAATGTTTATTGAAAATTATTAAATATGTGAAATCAACCCATAGGATAGGTTCGCAACACCTGATACATCTCCAAAAATTGATAAATAATAGTCAAAGTCAACTCAGATGTAAATTATCCCAAAATCGGTTTAGTCCTAATTGAGATCTGAAGATGGACAGAACAACAGATCGCCATACCTTTCATAAAAAAACTCGAGATGCCATTTGATCGCCATATGATGCCATTTTGTGTAATGTAATCGGTGAAAAAATTCTTTAAAAAATTATATTATAAGAAAATGTCCTTGTTTACAAAGTATTTATTTGATCCTTCTTAATTTCTCTTAGATTTTGTAATTTTAGCAAAAATACAACAAATATCCTTTTTTAAGAGAAATTTTTTTTCTGTCTTTGTAAATTCAATATTCGATGTAAGGTTAACAACACTCAACTTAGAAAATGCATTTTCAAGTTGTTTTTTTTTTTTTTTCATAAGAACCTTGGTTAATGGTTTTGGAAAACGTTTTCGGGTATTATTCAAAGACATGTTATTTCTAAAAAAAAATATTCTTTTATCGATCGTTATTGAAAAATTACATTTTCAAGGATTCAAACTTAATAGTTTATGACTTTTGATTTAGTTAAATTCCATTATAATTCAATTGTGTATAAATATTTTGTACATATATAAATCTTTAATTTATATATGAACAATTTTCTGTATTTTGGATAGTATAAATATTACCGAGATCCTTTTGTTTCGCTTTTAAATGTTATAAAATATTTCGATTTCATATTAAAAGTACAAGCTGAAGTTTTCATTTTGGAGTAGCGGGAAGAATCCTTCTTCATTTTGGAATAGCTTAGAATTTTATTTATTTTCAAAAGCATTCAATTTCGATAAGTTCATTTATAGATTGTCTATAGAAAAAATAATTATTATAGAATTTAATTTCTTTGATTATTTATAAAATTAATTTATCGAAAACCTAAGTGATTCTTGTAAATATTTAAGGTTTAAATTAGAGTGAGACCTATAATTATGTTAAAAATTAAAAATAATCAATGAGATTGCTGCCCTTTTTGCATAAACACATAATATCTATTAACATATTATACACAAAAATATGTTCAAATACACAGCGTACATAAAAATGTGTATACTTTAACTATTTAAGGGACAAAACCAAAATGTCACATTAATTATTATGATATTATCAACTTGAATCTCACTTTGTTTCATTTTTGAAAAAAAAAACTCTTTCTGACTCTTTAGATTTTTGAGTCTCTGCTGTACAAGGTATGTCTTATTAAAAGCAATTGAATATTACAACATTTTTCTCTTTTTATAATATATATTTATATAATGTTTTCCTTTTGCTTTTGAATAATTTATATAGTTTATTTATGAGATGATCCAAAGAACAAAGAAATAATAACTATTGCAATATTATATATGTATATGTACGGAAAAATGTGAGAAAAAAACCTTCTGTGATACTACATAAAACGGAATCATATTACAATTATTGCATTTAAAATTCGTTTTTCCTCGATTTCGGCATAGTTTAGGCAGTCATTTTAGTTATCTTTTCTTTTATTTTCCCATACTTAAAACTCCTTAACGTATCTTCATCAAAAGGAAAATTAAATACATATATATATTATGTAAATATATGTGTACATAAAGGGATATATCCGTTTATATTCCTTTTAACACATTCATTTGCTCTCTTTAGAATTTCCTAATGTCTTTTATTATTGTTATATGAATTTATCGGAAAATTTTAACTTTTTCACATATTCTATTCTAAAAAATAAATATATGTATGTGTATAGGGGAAAAAAAGGTCGAACCTCATATGAAATTTGTATTAGGGGATTTCGATATCGACATATTTGTTTTTGTTTTTTTCTGTTTTTATTTTATTATATATTTATACATTTATTATTCATTCTTAATGAACCATGAAACAGTAGCCGAAGTCCTTTAATAATAAAAAATAATCATATTAATATGCTGTATATGTTTATAAAATGTTTCCTAATGGATCTCAAGGGAGTTTTCATTTTATTTTTATATATTTTTCTTTTTATCTTTTCCAAATACAAACAGGTTTAAAGAAAAGAAAAAAAAACTCCCCTGTTTTTATTATTAGATATAGAATGCATAATTTTTTTTTTATAGAATATCTTATTATAAGTATGGTACGATCTTTATGAAATTTAGTTTTTTTTTTTAAAAAAATCTAACATAAAAATATGTGAATTTCAGATAAAAACATTGATTTCTCTTAAAAAATATCCTAAAGTTTAATATACCTTTAAATCATTTTGTAAAATATGCAGGATGATTTTTTATTTTAAATTTCGAAAAATATAATAAAATATTCTCCAACTTTCAACATAATCATTTACCCAAACTGGCACGATGAGGAAACGGCCATACATATTTTGGACATAGTTGTTCGGCTGCGACAATCACAGTGATGGTTTCGGCGAGATTTTTTAAGTTTTCAGAATCTCCTTGGGAGATATGTTTGGGTATTTACTTAGGACAATATAGGTTAGATATGGTAGGGCTGCAATAAACCGGAGCTTACTGCAATGGGCGAAGAAGAAATGTTTCTTTGCCCATAAATTGTTTAAGTTATTTTAAGTCAATATTTTTTTGGGTAGGATAGAATAAACAATGCAGTATAGAGTATACAGTATAGAGTGTTAAACAATGAACATATTAGAAATAAGTAGGACATTTTTGTTACATACATATATACATAACTTGAAGTTTTCAAATTAATTTACTCAATTATTAATCAATTTTATTATGTAACTTTCAAACTGTACCAATATAAATTTACTTTATGCCAATATGAAGAGAATCAAAAATTTATGAATAAGTATAGCATAATTTTTTATACGCTTTGCCTCATAATTTCTTTTTTGTTTTTTTGATCATTTCAAATTTCCTTTCTCTATATATAGAAAAAATATTTTGAAATTTTATACTTAAAAATCATTTAATAATGTGAAAATCATTGATACTACCATGTAAAAGAGTAAAAATCAAAAAAGAAATCAATATAATGAGATGAGTTAAAAAGGAGGGGGAAAAGGATATTCATTAAGGAAAATGTTATAATATTATCATAATTTCAATTTATCAGTAAATTACGTAGCTTC